TATTCTAATTTCAAATTGACTTTCACAAATTTAAGTTAGAATAAAAATCAATTGAGATAAAAATTCTTTGTACTGACATTAATCCAAACTAACCTAAATTAAAAAATTGCTTATCAGTAAAATTCTTATATTGATAATGAGATTTAAACTAATATCACTGAAAAATTTGGAATTCTTATGGATTGGACTAATTTTTATTATTACCACTATTAACTTTCACTAATCTCTTTCAAGAATCATAATTTATTACGTGTGAGATACACGCACATAATTTATCTGATATATAGCTTAGTATTGGGTTCTCTTGCATGGAAGTTGGAAAACAAAATATACATTTTTCATAGTTATTCACTCTCCTGCATCTGTTCAATTTAATTTTGAGATATGGACATAAACAAGAATGAATTAACCAACCGACCGAAAAAAAAAAAACCCTGGTACTCCTAAGAATGGATTCTGATGACTCTCTTCATCACCCTTCTCATCCTCTAGTTCTCACCATTCACATATATACAAATATTAAAACTAAAAATTAATTCGAACAGTTAACATTGAAGAGTGAAGAGGGACCCGATCGAGAAAACCAGTAGTAGTTTGAATAATGGTTCTGCCGCCATCAACGTCGTCTATGTGAAAGAAAAACCCCCTGATGACAATAATGTATGTATATATGCTTATGTAACTGTATCAGCAACCCTCTGACTCAGGTGGAATAATATATATATATATATATAACACTTGATATATTATTATTATTATTATTATTATTATTATTATTATTATTATTATTATTATTATTAAATATGAGAATGAGAAGTGTCCTTGATGCTAATAATATGAGCCTGAGTTTCTGAGATTGTTCAGTGCAAGCACATGCAGGCTTGTCCCACAGCTTCCTCAATCTGTGGTTGGCATTTACTTCTTAGACTCTTCTGTTCCATCCCTCTCAAACCCTATTCACTTTTTCATTTTGTCAATCAAATTTGGCCAACTTGACGACCAGATGAGTTTCATTTTTTTTTATCGGTTTAATGTAAATATAATTGGGGGAGAATTATTATAAGATTCCAGTGAATGAATGTGATAGCTGAAAAATTTCACAACATCAAGTGATTATAGGATGTCGTAACAAGTTTTACTGCAGAAAATGATAATATGTCCACATTGCTCACTTATTATTGAAATTTTTCAGTCGTTACTTTTCTTCCTTAAAAGCTCGAATATGTAATTTACATGCCCTCTTCAAATTTGATAGGTTTTTAAGATTTCGCTCACTTAAACACAGGTCCAATGTTTATGATCGTTATTATTGCTTCTAATGATTAATCTTCTCATGAAAGTGGGGCTAATTTCTGTTTTGTATTCTTCTGGATCTTTCAAAATCCATCTTAAGCACACTACCTTTCTTTATCAACTTGTTCCGATGCACAGAGATGGAAGGTGTAATAATTTAGTCCTAAAGTTCACTACATTAAATAATGAAGTATATGCATACGAAGCTTAGGACTAATTCATATGGAACACCAAAGAATTAGACAACGTAGTATATGTATGTATTCCTAACTAAATTTAAGGTTCGAATCCCGATCAAGAGAAATACTCATTTATTATTTGACAGTGTCTCGAATATGATTGTTTCTATTTTAATAGAAAGACACTTATGGGTAGTAGGAAAAAAAAATCTCTTTTAATATAGGATCTTACATGTCCTAGATTTTGATCTTTGTTTATTTTTATACTTCCCTGATCCTAAATATAAAACATGTTTTGTAGTGTAATTTATATATAAAATAAGTCTTATACTTATTATTGGAGGAGTATAATTAGCTCCCGTTTGGCAAAGAGGTGAAAATTTCCTATAAGCACATTTCACGTAAGTTGAGATAAAACTCTTCTCACATACTATGTCGTATTCTGTAAATTACTATTAAAAAACAGCTTATAAGTTACTTATAAACTATTCTAAACGGGTACTTAATCAATACAATTGAATTGTTATTAAAAGAAATTGGAAAGGAAGAGGGGGGGGGTTGTTAGTTGGAAGACGGTTGATGAATGGAAGGGAAGAGAGGGAGTGCACGTGGGTGCATTTAGAGAGCGAGCGAGTGTGGGCCTTCCTCTCTCTCTCTCTCTCTATCTCTTGTTTGTTTGTTGTGAGTGTGTGTGTGGTGCACATGGCATGTGAGGCATTTGCTTCCATGTGACCCCATGTGCCTCTCTTCTTTTCCCCTTGACTTTTCCTTCAAATCCCTCTCTCCCCCTTTCTACCTGATTTCATCTAAATTATTTTTCATTTTAAGTTAATAGAAACACTCAATGATTCATTTTTCTTTGCGAACAAGTTTAGGACGTGTTTGGATTAATTAACGATAAGCATTAATCCAAATGCAAACCAAAGTTTGAGGAGTGCGTTAAAAGCTTATTGAAATACTACTAGTTTTCTCAATGTTTGAATTACCTTTTCACCCAGTATTTGTCGGCAATGTTTGAAGACTTTCATAACATTTTAAAAAAAATATTTTTTATACAAGTTGAGATAAATTTTTTTTTTCACATATTTATTTTAGACTCCGTAAAATTATTTTGACGGCATTTAAGATCATAACTTAGATTGGATCACAAAGCAATTTAAATAAACTTTTATCCAATCTTTAGTTTGTGGAAATTTTAATTTCACAACAGCCAATTTAAACGTATAATTAGAGTTGAAATGCTGAAATTTTCAAAGACCATATATAAACCTCAAAATTTAAATAGTAGTATTTTGAAGAATTTATAGTTATCAATTATCTATTCAATAAGGCTCCCACGTTAATATTATTGAGATTTAAATTCAGGCTCTTGTGAGATATAGGCCACATTTTTACCTGTATTAGTATCAAGATACAAACTAATACTCCTCCGATCCTAAATATAAGACTCTTATACATACTAGTATAAGAGTTTTATATTTAGGACTGAAGGAGTAATTCATTTGTTCAGATTTAATTCTTTATATTTTACATTCTGTGTGCACGCGCCTCTTTTTATTAAATGACACACACGCTTACAAAATAGCTTATACATTCTTTAATTAACGAGGATATTTTATATGTTGACACTACTACAAAAAATAGTTTTCACGGCGCTAATTTACAGCGGTTATTAGAAAAAACATTATAAAAAATATGACGGTGGTATTTCTGTAATTATAGGCGGACTTTTAAAGGCGGTTATTTAAAAAACCGCCGTTAAAAGTACTTTTTACGGCCATTTTTATAAAACCGCCGTAAAAAAATACTTTTAATGGCAGTTTTTTAAATAACCGCCGTTAAAAATCTATCATAATTTTAAAATCCATCACGCGACAGTTTTCACTTTTCAGAATCAGAGCTCATAGTCCCCCATATCATCCTCACTCTATTTTCTCCCTTCTCCTACATTTGTCAGCGTTTATCCATTGCTTCTATCATTTTCGCCATGTTTTTCTATCACCGTCACTGTTGCTGTTGTCATTGCCGTTGTCTTATCCTCTTCATTCTTATTTGTGAGTTTTTCACCTCTATTCTTTCTTTGGATTTCATAGTTTTGTGGTTTGATATGATTATTTTCTTTGGTTAAAAATATGATGTTTAATCGAGTTTAAAGAGATCTGATTTTTAGCAGATCTGAGTCTTTGATTTTATCAGATCTGAGTCTTTGATTTTATCTCTATTAAAACTTAGTTGCTTCGATCTGGTGGCTGAAGGTGAAGCTAAGTGACGCTATTACTCCATCAGAATGCTTTTAACTAGTAAGAGACTTCCTTTGAGGCTTTGTTCTCCTGTTCCTTCTTGATTAGTAGGGTGAAACATAGTCTAAAAAAACAAAAAATTTTCACGGCGATTATTTATATAACCGCCGTGAAAAGTCACATATCACGGCGGTTCTTAAACTGCTGTGAAATCCTCTATATTTTACGTCGATGGCATAGACGTCGGTCTCAAAACCGCCATAAAAAGCTTATTTTAACCGCCGTTAAATGTATTTTTTATAGTAGTGTGACTCTTAAATTTAAGAATAAGAGACAGTATTGACAATTAGCTGATATGTTTTTTGAATCCACTTATTGTTTTTAACCTATATTTTTCTACTTAAAGTACCATAAAAATGTACAGAAATAATTTTTCAGTCATTGTAGTTTAAAATTAGAAAAATTTACATAATATTAAAAAAATTATAAGTTTTATATAATTATTTGAAATATCCATTACTACCATGTTAGACTGCAGCAAAAAAAAATAGTGAATTAAAAATGAAATTTGCAAGTTTCATGATGAGAAAGATCGTTGCTGATTAATTGATTAGTGATAAAATTCCTCGCTGCTAAATTTCATCACAAATCTGCTTTTTTTTTCTTTTAATTACCCGATCAATATGTTGGATAACTCTTTCAATGTGACTTTTTCTGTTAACAAGGCTTTAATTCTTGATCTTACATGAGATAAATTAAGCTTCTTTTTTTTTTCATTTGACCTAACTACTGTTGACATAATTCTGATTTTTTAAATTAAATATGAAATTAAAAAAAATAAGTAAAGCATGTAAGAATTTATTATTAAATTTACTACAAAAATAAATATCAGAATCATTATTCATTCATCAAAACCAACAAAGTTTTCAGCAGATATACAACAGTAATATCTAAAGTAAATATTACTCTTCTATTCCTAAATATAAGACCTTTTTTTATAGTGTAACTTTCGTTACAAAAAGGAGAGGAATAGTACTTACCCCCGGATGAATGATGAACAATTTATTTATTAAATTGTTTTCAGAATTAAGGCCAAACAGAGGTTAAGTAAAAAGTGACGGTGAATTTGAATTTTCTCGTCCCAGGCAATTATTTTGTAGGCTGTCCTCCATATATGTCAGAGATACTTTTGTTTGGCGACCTTCAATTCTTCATGTGCCTATAATATCTTCTTCTTCCCCCTTTTACCCAACTAATAATCTCTCACCACTTCTCTCTCTCTCTCTCTCATATTTCTCTCCTTCTTCTTCTTCTTCTTCTGGGTTAGATATGGAGGGGAAGCTTAGTACAAAGCGACGACGTATTTACTCTGTGGAACCCAGCAAAATAGCACAGGCTGAGTTTGCGAGAATCTACTTGAGCCATTTGGTTCCCGCTTTGGTGAAGCTAAAGCAGAACCAGACGCAGAAGAAGAAGAAGAAGATTACAGAAGAAGATGATGATGATCAGAAGAACAGTTGTGAGAATGTTGTGAAGCATGAAGTGGGTATGGCTATGGTGTGGTCAGCCCCACCAGGCTTCGCATGGACCAAAGCCCTAAAGGCCAAGTTTCAAACAGATCACACCAATGCAGCCATCATCAACGACCACCACCATCCATATTTCTCTGCTGCAAACTCTACAACTACTGTTTCTTCCAAATCATCCTGTGTTCATAAAGAAGAAGAAGAAGAAGGGTTTAAGAGACTGAGAAGGCTGATTCCAGGTGGAGAAGAAATGGGTGATGATGAAGAAGAAATGGCTCGAGAATTGGAGAGTTATATAAGGTGCTTGCAAATGCAGGTGAACATTCTTCAATGTTTGGCTCACACTACACATCTCGATTAATTTTTTCTTTCTTTCTTTTTTTTTTTTTGTTTGTTGTTTATTTCCAGATATAAGTGTTTATGTTAAATTATGATTATTCAAGCAATATATGTTGTCAAAAAACAACTAGCTAGCTGCTGGTTTATCGCATATATATATATATATATATATATATAAATAGGTTTTGTGTATATAGTCTTATAATTAACTTGTTCATCTTTGGAGAAGAAGCACAGGAAGAAAGATGATTTATGTGAGGACATGAATAATCAAGCAGCTTAAGTTCTGTCTTCAACAATAATTTACAGCGTGCAACTTTATTTCATCATTATGTTCAATTAATTTATATTGCGATGTGAGGATGAATATGATATATATTTCAAAGTAATTATTATATCGTTTTGATTTTTCTAATCAATTTAATTCTTATAAGCATAGTTCTGTTTCCATAATAATTTAAGAACTTCTAAATGAATTAAAGCGATACTATTTGGATTTTAGAATCAAGTATCTTAGTGAAATGCAACAACAATAAAGTTTTTAAGAACAAAATGAGAAAATTATGAATGAGTTCTAAATATGGAAACTAATCCATCATTTTTCTAATAAAATATCAAAAGATGACATGTAAATACTAAAGATTATATAATTAAATTTTCTATAGAGGTGATTGATGAGGACCAAAATAGAATTCAAATTCTCTAGCATCATGTTAAGCCAACTGCAGCTAATTAATCAGTTTAAAGTGTTCATATAAAAAAAATACATAATACTTATCAAGAAAAATCCAAAAAAAATCTCTTGAATTTGAAAATTTCAAATCAGTCTTACTTACTATATTTTAATAGTAATTGATTACATTTAAAAAGCAAATAATAACATATTTTTGTAGTAATTTTTGATTTGAGATTTTGAAATTCAAGAGTTTTTTTTTTTAGATTTTTCCTATTTATTATCCTTTTAATTAATATTAAATGACAAATTTTCAATTTTTATTTGGCCTTTTTTGAACTGCCAGTAATATGATGAACACATGCTTTAGGCCTCATTAAAGCAATCCACTACCTGAGTGACATGTTTGGGACCAGTAAAAGATAAGGAAGCCATGCTTCATTATTATGATTTATGAATCATCCCATCTTTAATTTGCCACTTTTATCATTTCTTCAAATTATGTATTTAATTTCAAGAAATAAACTGTCGAATTTATTGGTAAGTTTGGTCTTCATGATAAGTTTATATAATAACTTAAGAGCTTTCCAGTTCAAAAGATGAAAAAAGAAAATGTAAAGAATCCAATTTAATTAGTTGTGCAGGAAAAAATCCGGCCCCATATATTAGCCTTTATGAGAAAATAGACGCTTATACGTTTGATACCATCTTGTGGCTTAAAATCAACTTGATTGATACCTAGAATGATAAAATTAAAAAATAATTTTATGGACGAGAAATATCTCTTCTACTATTATCTTCGGTCCTAATTATAAGACCACATTTATATACTACAAATGAGATTTTATAATTAGGATAGAGGTAATATTAAATTTTCATAAAAAAACACTGTTGAATAACAATAAAAGAGGTATGAAAATATCGTAATCTATCTTTTTTTTTTTGTATAATTGAAATCAATGTCTTGACCAATTGGACCCTGCTGTTTGGCACAAAAATGTAATACTACATCCGCTCCTAAATATAAAAGATATTTGACTAATTTGAGTAGATTAAAAAAATAAATTAAGCTAGTTATTTGTAATAAATAAGTATTGTCTTTCTTGAAATATCCTTGCTAATTAAGTATATTGGCTAGAACTACTATTATTAGAATGATTACTTTAGAAAAAAAAAACGTAAATATAAGAGATAAAGTGCAATGAAATCTTATATTTATGACCAAAATAAAAATCAAATGAGGTCTTATATTAAGAATTATAGGTATTATTAATCTTTTTCCATGGCACGATAATATACTACCTACTGTTCTTATTATAAGAGTTTGTTTGGCTTTTATTTTGATCCTAAATATAAGAGCCCAATCCACCTTGTATGTCATATTAATCTATTTTTTTCAAGATAGTTTTTAGCTAATATACTTGATTAGTAAGGATATTTAAAAAAATAACATATATTTATTACAAATAACTAGATTAACTAATGGTCTTAATCAAGTTATGAAATTCAAAGGCAAATATTTTTTTTGGTTGCCCGGAGTATTCTTCTACCGAAAGGGTAAGAGACTAATATCTTGGGATACTGTTAATGTTTTTCTCCATACACACCTTCCTGAGAATTAAACCTGGAATATGATGTTCAAGATGCCTAAGTTCTTTTCACTTGGACCAACACTCTAATTGGAAAATATTTTCAAAGGCAAATATGTTATACCAACTTTCTATCTGAATTAATTACTAATTATGCTGGCCCATTGGTTTGGGCTACCGAGCCCGTTAAGAATTTGGTTCCATAAAATCGCTATTGTCACGTTGATGGAGTTTATTTGGTAATATGCATCTTTTTTTTTTTTTAATTTGTTTAAAATCATACATAAACACATAAATATTACATTAAACAACCTAACTATGTTTGAGGACGCAACTGGAAACAAATAGGATCAATATAAAAAATATAAATCGCACAGTAAGTTTCATGATATGTGAGTTATAAATAGTAGAACTTATTTCTTAAATTTTACTCCCTTCGTTTCTTATTATAAGAGACATTTGATGCTTATGGCATGTTTCTAAATATAAGAGACACTTAAAAGTTGTCTCTACTTTTTTGTGTTGATTTCCTATTTTACCCATATTTATTGTCTCCAACTCACACTCTCTCTCCCTCCCATTTCTCTTTCTTTCAATAATTTAATTGTTCTCTCTCATACTCTCTTTCCTTATTAATGAGGGCATTTTAAAAAAAAAATTATGTTTTTTATACATTGATGTTCTTAACTAATTTTAACTACTTTTTTTATTAACGTAATTCGTTTATTCGTCTCTTCTAATAAGAAATGGAGGGAGTATAAAATAATTGCACCAACCCTAATTAGGTTGCAAAATAAGGTTGAGGAATCAATAATTGTTCTAAATCTGATGTTTTTTTGGGTAAAAAACTCTTTTGATTTAAGGTCACCTGCTTATTTTTATAAAAGTCAACTTAAACATAAATCACATTATAATAAATGAGTCTTATCTTAACTTAAATTTGCAAAATTAAAATAAAATAAAAATTATTTTTATCATCTCTAATTCAAACATATCCTCAGAGGATGATCTAACTCAGCTCCAAGCACCCAAAAAAAAAACTTTTAAATTATAAAAATATTGCTATATTCAGCCCCGAAAAGCACTAATTATTTGTCTTCGAACTATTATCGCTAAAAATAATAATAAAGAGCATAATAAAAAATTATTTATGATGATATGATGACTGAAAGTTAATGTCAGCATTTCTCTGAGTGTGTGAGGAATTAATAAAGTGTAAAACATTTTCTATCAAAAGAAAAAAATAAAGAGTACAACATAACGGCAACATTTATAATAATTTTATGAGAAAAAATGAGCAAAAGTCCAAAATGATCCATCACGTCTGAGGGATTGAATTTCTGAGTAGTAATTATTGGTTTTAACACGCAGGATACAAATGCGGGCAATAAAAAGAATGCACATGGCAAATAAAAGAAAATATTGCACCTAAAAAATAAAAGAAATTAATCATATCATATCATATTATTTACAAATTATGAATAACAGTTCGTTTTCAAGTTTTGACGACCTATGCTTACTTCTTTCCCCCCCTACAGTTCATGCATCAGTAATACACTAATGCTCTCTATGACTCATGCTTATTTTACAACTATAAATAGCTTCATTTTTTTTTATCAATGGTATTATTAAATGGGACGATGGTATGACATCATTAATTTATATAACTGACTGCACTTAGTAGAATAGAGATTGAATGTTTTATTGCTGCAACCACAATAATATACTACATGGATTCATAAATTATATACTACCTCTAATAATTAATACAGAAGCTATTTAATTAATTTAGATAGATTAAAAAAGTCAAATAAACAAATTAATTATAATAAATGTAACATGATTTTCTTAAAATATTCCTCACCTGTATAACATTAAATTATACTATTTTCAATCTTAAATATAAAATCTAGTTTGTAAATTATACTACAATCTTATATTTAGGATTAAATCTAACATCTCGACTAATTCATATATTGACCAGTGGTAGCATATAATTTCCACTTATTGGGTGGCTTGACAAATGGTGTGAACGCGAGAAATGACCGGATTGATGTTCATATTGGCAACAAGTGCTTTTATGTGTGCTCATTTTTAACGCCAATTGGTCAATTTTAATTGGGCTAATTTTAATTATGTTTATTTTTTTTAAAAAAAGTACTCGTGATATTTATTTTATAGGATGCTTATTTGATTGTGAGGTAGTACCCACTGTTTTTGTTTGGTCCACTTAGGTTTGCCACAACAAGCCAGCCAACCAACCAACCAACCGGGTGAGTGAGTGAGTGACATGCAATAACTATATTGTTAACCTTATATTATTGTTGGTTATCTATCGCTTAACGATATCGTTCTTTTCCTTATGTTAATGAGAATGTTTGAATTTGACTATTATCTTTATTTTTTCCTGTGTTTTAATTTGTCTTTTTTTTCTTCCAAATTTAGGTGAATCTACCCTTCTCTTATGAGATATGAGTCATATATACTATTATCAACTGAACCAATCTTTGATAACAAATTTATCTTTACATTATCATATATTCTCATTACTATGTTGGGAATGTAGAAAGGGTGATAATGGAAGAATTGACACTGTATTTTACTCGAAACATGAAGATTTTCAAGTTTGAGTCTATTATTGACTATACATGCAAACAAGCTTCTCCATACTAAATATCCAACAAAACAGGGAAGAATGGAAACGGGCGATGGGAATTAATATCACATCTTAACTCGAAACCTTAAAGCTCATGTTTAAACCGAGTTAAGTGGTTTTATATATCCTAACACAATAATATAATAAAAATAATATTCAAAATAAAGACAATAAAGATAATTATTGAATAATAATATGAGACAATATATCTATTTATATGTGAATTTGTATACATGTGCAATTGTTGTTGTTGTTGTTGTGTGCAGATATGAAGTGGGACATAAAGGAAGCTTATCCTATCCGACCAAAAGAAAGTGGTGGAGAGTCTTGTCAACTAAACGAAACAACACAAACATT